GAAGGGGACACAGAAACTCCAGGGTAGGGATTTTAAAAGTAACTGGCTCTAAACCTCAAAGTCAACACCTCTGATTAGCAGTCAGGAAGACAGCTTTATCACTTCTAGTGACAGCAAGATTATTTCCCAGGGGGCTCATCTCCTTTCAGAAAGTGAGCTCAAGCCTGCCTGTTGAAACACTCACCTGGCTCCCTAGGTGGAATATAAAGGAAGTAGACTTTCTAGCTAGCTTTGTATTTAGAGTACCTATACTATAGATATAGAAATGGAATACAATAGGTCTGTCATCATCTTTTTTCCTACTTACTCTAGTTCTATAAATACTCCCTCAGATTACATTAGCTTTTGTGGTAGGCTTGTCACTTGCTAACCAATACTATAAAATGCAGTCAGCTAACATAGCTACGTATTTTTTTTTAATCTACTGATTCAATTTAGGTTGCAACCTCCCTCAATTTACATACAGTTTCTTTCAATTTCTCAATTTCTGCACATACTTCAGACTCAAATTTACAAATGCTACCATCCAATAATAGCCATGACTTCCTGCTTTAATGTCATCTGTACATTTTATCAGCATGTTCTTAGGTTTTCATCTAAATCTGAGATCCAGTTCTAAAAAGGCCATTAAAAATGTGTCCTCTAATCTTCTGCATCTGAGTATCCTGTACTAGATACCATTAAGTGGAACTGGTCAAAATGTAATCAATAAACTATGTAAGTACTAGGTAAAAATTATTAGGATATATTTTTGGCGTGGTTACACAACAGTTTGGGCTCATCTCCTCAAATACTTATAGTATGATTACTAGGAGAGAACATTTAACCTGCAACAATCTCTAACAAGTAACCCACCATGGTGGCTCTTTAAATTACGTAGTTCAGATCTACAACTATGCAATATGATATAGACGAATATCAAACATAATACTGGATGAAAGAGAACAGACACAAAATACACAGTGTATGATTTCACGTACTGGAAGTTAAGATAGAGGAGGGGACAAAATAGGAAGGGGGCATCAAGAGGTCATGAAGGAGCTTATTATAATCCTGCATCTTGATCTGGGTGCTGGTTACATAGGTGTGTCCAGTTTGAACTGTACATTTATGAATGGTGCACTTTTCTGATACAAATTATTCTTCAGTAAAGAGATTTTTAAAAAGTCACTATCACTGAGCATTCAAAAACTAGATTAGCCAAATTCTGAAACCTGATTTTTTTTTTTAAAACCAGGTTTTACCTCATTTTTGTTTTTAGCTAACAAGTGGGTGTTAATGATGTATCCAAGCTTCTTGGAGAATAACTGAAACAAAACAAACTATCTTACACAAGCAGTTTAGTTCTGATTTACTCCTAAATTCAAGAATGAAATTTAAAAAAAAAAAAAAAAGAATGAAATCTCATAGGCAAAAATGATAGGAAATATTGGATGCCTTTTCTAACATAAAATACTTCAGGTTATTTAACAAGAATATTTTAATTCAACAATTTTTAAACTTGATGTAAATAGATATAAATAAATAACCACTGTGTGTGTGGGGAGGAGGGGGTGGGAGGAGACTTACTTTAACCAAAATCATCAAGTACCTAGTAAAAGATATACCACATACTTAGACATTCATTCTAAAGTTAATAATCCATGTGTATGACTTTCCTTATTCATTTTTCCTTAAATATTGGTCCTATAAGGAAGGAAAAGCCAACTCAGGGGGATGGTGCACCTAGCAACTGTTGCTCTCATCTGCCAACCACATTTAAGTATTTTCTTCATTAAGACAGAAATACTTTTAAGTGTTTATTAATAAGGGTAAATCCTTACAAGCTACATGATTTCTTCTTTTAATTTACATGAGGTAAAGTTTTCTCCCTCTAATGCTCCTTTACCTTACTGACCTGATATTTACAAGAGGGTAAAATTGTTTGCCATAAATTCTTACCCTTCGCTTTTGTAGACAAAGGACTCCCAATGAGAGCCTGCTCCCCAGTGATCATCAGGATAGGTTCTAAACTAATTCTGTCAGTGTAACAAAGCAATGCCAATAATTAAGTTTGGAAAGCATTCTTTAAAGAAGAAAAATAGGAAGTTAAAATTTAAAGTTACTATTCTGAAATGCCAATAGGCTAGGAATCACTGAAAATTGGCTTCTTCATAGTAAGATAATATCCAGAAAGTTAACTGTGGAAGCTACATTATTCAATTTAATAAATAGTCAATGCAAACAGAATGGGCTTCCTAAAGAAAGGCTGTATTATATTTGAGCTATGAGAATCTATTGTTCTTATATTCGGTAATTGTTTCAGCTCACTGATTCCTTAAGGTATCTGCAAATGACAAATGGGGAAGACAGACAACAATGACGGTATCTACAGGAAAAGGGAAAGGAAAGCTTGCCAGTAGCTTTGATGTTAGTATAATAACATTATACTATATAACAGTATATATATATATATATATATATATATATATATATATATATATATAACAGTAGTATAAAGCATTGAATATCAGTGGAAAGAGATAATATCTAAACATAGGCAGAAGAAGACAGGGAAAACTTCTCAACTTGCTAATTCTAATTTAAATAGGGGAGAAAACAAAGGTAGTCATTAGAGAGCTCTAAGTCAGTGTGAGAAAGGTGTATTAATTACTTATATTTTAATTAAAAGATAGTCTGCTAAAAGAATCCTGGGGAAAGAAATCCCACTCTTTCAAGTAAAAGCAAAACCAAGAATCTTCAGATATCTAGGGCAGGTTTAATTAAAATTGACATAAGGCTAAAAACTTGCCCCAACTGAAAATGATTTAAGATTTCATAAACAGGAGGCTAAAAAAGGGTATCTTATCAACATTGATGGACAAATTTGTACCTTATAGTAAGTAGATAATAAAGGATTTATAGTCCCTCAGATCACTGAATGGTTCCATTTAATAGAATCATCTCTGCAAAATACTTGTCAATTAATAAAATTTTAAAAATCTAAAATTTGTAATAGTCAAAAATGAACAAGGCAATTCTATGAGCTATTTTTCAAAGTTTAACACATATAAATCTTTAATCCTTGTCTGCAATGAAAGAGAATAAATATCCCCACAACATTTTGTTAGTAAATAACCTATTAAAAAGTTTGTAGATATTTGCCAACTGAAGTAGATAGTCAGAACTAATGAAGCCAGCCACAACTGCTCTTCTCAACTGAAAATTAATTAAGCTAGTTGAAAAGCTAAAAGGAGGCCACTAGTCAATTTCTACTGGATTGGCCTTGTTCCCTTTGTACCAACATGCCAATTTACAGTGAAGAATGGCTGATCTAGGATGTAACTTCTGCTTATATTTTGGCACTAACGTACTATAGATAAGTATCTGTTAAACTTCTTTGGCTCTGGACAAGAGGTCCCAAGGAGAAGACAAAATATTTTCAACCCATGAGAAACTACACATATAGCAACCCGCCTCATTTCTGATACCTTAAATGTTTCTGATATCTAAAAAAGAAAACAGATAAGGAGTATTTAGCTATCACAACAAATGATGAGCAACTTCTATGGTTGTTTTATGATGAAACAAAAGAAACCTTTAATATTAGATCCAAATTATAAAAAATAAAGCTCAAACCTTTCTACATTGTTCTGATGAAAATAATAAATATCATTCATACTGATGTCATGGTAGTTCATGAAAGTTAGTGATTTGAAATAAATTATCATGTATCTAAAAACTATTGTTTCTTAACAGAGTGCTATTTTTTGTTTTTCTAAGGGAAAAGTATAAAGGACACCACAAAGTACTCACCCTGGCCACATCTGGTAAGCCATTTGAATTATTAAACCATCATGCTTGCTTCATGTCACAATTTACATTTATGTCAATTTATATCGCTATAGCTGTACAATTTAAAAATTGAATTTATAAGCATGGCACTATACATTTTAAAACTTCTTGTTCTACAAGTAACCATTTAAAAACATTTTTAGTTAAGTAAGGAATATATCACCAAAAAGATAGTTTGTTAGAAAATTTCTTGAGTGACACACACAGCAAATCAAGCCTAAGAATTAAAAGACTGTTATCATTTCTAGGCAATGTAGTCCATGTCTTAACATGACATGTACATGCACTTAGCAATACTCTACTCTAATGAAAGAGATGGAGTTGAGTCCATGAGTGTTATCCAAACTATGCCAAAGGAAACAAATGCGTTGCCAGGCAGAGTTAAAGGAATCTAACAAAGCTTTGTGTGAATTTTAAAAACATTGCTTGTGGTCAACTTTTACTAATTAGACAAAGAATGATGGAATGCTAATAAATATTCAGCAAAATAAGTGAACAGAGCATATACTACTTAAAATGTGTATTAAGCAGAAAGATAAACCAAAGACTCTGTTGCCATACATAAGCTCCAAGACTTCATTCTATATTTTTAAGTTAAAAATAAAATTCATACAACATTTCTGTGAGAAAACAAACTGTTTCAGGAGTTTATAAAACAATAATGTGGATCTAGTGAACTCTAGCAAACCAGCTTGAGGTTAAGATTTCTCACTGAGAATTAAACAATGACTACTACTTTGATACCTTAGTCTTTTCCCTCCTATTTCTTAATACGAAATAACATTTTGCTTTGAGTCACTAAAGCTTTTACAGGGAAATCATATAAAATAGCACAAAATTAAAATACCTAGTTTATTTTATAGAATATACTTTAAATACACATGGGTAAGTGGATATTTCATGTAATAAAATCCAACAGAATAAAGTCCTTCAAAAAAATAAATATAAGCGCAGTAAAAAGAAAAGTATGTTTATATTCTGTTTAAAATATAGACTGTGTTTTTGGTTTATTTTGCTGCTTTGTCCCATGCTGGATACCATGTGATTTCTCCCTCCCCAAAAATAACAAATAAAGATCAGTTTTAATAATGAGAAACCAGTACAGTGCAAAGCAATTCATGCATACACTTTTGCATGTATGCATTCCATATGTTAAGTATTCATACCTATCCCAGAGGTTCTTTGATTCCTGAATCGTGTTCAAATGGAACGCTTGGTAGAAAGCAGTTGAAGGATTCCTGTGAGATCCAAGAATCAAATGGAAATGAGGTTGAGAAAGTACAGTAAAATCACTACTTTTCAAAAAAAGATGGAAGTTTCAGATTTCTAATACAGTACAACTGCTTTACTAAAAAGAAAAAAAATACACACAAGCCTGCTTAAAAACATTCTGAAAGATATTTAAAAACTGGACAAAATCCAGCATGCCCCAACAATAAATCCAGGATCACAATTCTAAACGCAGTGATACAGATAAAATTAAATACTAACTAGCATCTAATTCTGTGAGTGTGTGTCACCAATTCATAGCCTAAATCAACACTATTCTATATCAGAAGTCTTTATAAATCCCCATACATTTAGCAGTTTAACAAAGCTATACACTGTTCATGTAAAATAAGTTAAGCTGTACCATCATAATATAAAAATTCTGCATAGGATCCATAAGAATAAGGTTTGATGGTGACCAATGAGTCCTTTTCTGGATTGGACCTGACACAATTTTCATCTTCAGAATCCATTTACTCATGTGTGGTTTCTCTGGGCTAGAGCAAAAAACGCTGCTGCAATTGTAGTGTAGCTTTCTAATTTCTTGCATTTGTACTGTACCCCTGTAAGGGGTATAAGAGCTTACACACCTTAATCACCAACCATTTCTACCATTCCCTGGGGACACATTCCCTAGGGCTATAACCACAGAATCTTAACTGAAGGGCTCAGTAGGGCAAGCTCCCAGCATGCTTGTTTCATCTCACACCTCAAGAGTGGTTTCTCAGGGGACTAAACTTTTGAAAAGCTGTTCTCCAACAGTTCTTCCTTCACCTCAGCATATTTCTGTGGTCTCCTCCACCCCAACCTGCACATTAGAGAGCTAACAAAAACTTGCCACATTACTTCTAAAATCCTTGACCCATGCAATAGGAGAATAACAGGGGCAAGTTAAGATTATAGGTGTTTATTATATATCAGACACTATTCTAAGTGCTTTATATTTATTAACTCAAATCCACTACAGCCCTAAGAGTTAGGTACTATTATTTTTCCTATCTAATAGTTAAGGAAACTGGTTTTGATGGAAGTAACTTGCCACAGAGCTAGTTAGGTGCAATTCTGGCCCCAGAGTTTATGCTCTTAAACCACTATGCTAAGCATCTAGCAGAGTTAAATTTTAACCTCCCTAGGTGTGTCTCTATCAGTTACATGGTAATATTACCATCTAGCTTTGCAGGGTGGTTCAAGAACTGAGACTATATATAAAGCTCCTGGTATTTACTCAATACTCAATAAATGACCAGTTAGTTTTTAAAATCAAAATGAAGTTCAGATACAACACGGCAATTCTGAGACCCTTAGTAGAATCTCTGCAGTATTATTTATTAGTACAATAAGAAAATTATTTCCAAGTTCTACCGGAATAGCAATCAAGTATCAATGATGAAACAAAACAAATACTCAATGAAATTTCATAATTTCAAAACTCAGATTAAGACAGTATCTACTGAATCAAAAAAAAATTTTTTTTCTAGAGGCATTCTTAACAAGTAGGATACCTTTTAGATGATCTGAAACTGGGAAAGGCAGGTAAGACACCAGATGTCAAGACTGTCACCAAAGCAACTGTTTGATTAATCAGGAGTCTTCAGCATGTGTACTCTTCTTTGCTTCCCCTACTTCAACTTCTCTCTATTCTTTTTTTAGTATATGTGCTGCTGAAGTGAGCATAATTTCTTTCTATTCTTTTAACATTTCTCTACTTTTCTCTTGACTAGGTCTAAGGCAAATCAAAGACACAGATTAGACCTACTAATATCAAAAAAGAATTACATGTTGCTAACTACTGTTTACTTAACAGCTTGTATTCTCTCAAGATATATTTGTCAGGCCCCCTTTTTCACTGTACTTAGAAAATCAGCCCGCCACATTAAATCAAAGCCAACTAAACCAACTGAAAACTAAATATGGCTTTTTTACCAAGCTCATCCAAGACCATATGGGAACAAGTTTGCTACTCACACAGGTCTGTTTGGAGAACTTGGGTTTAAAATAAACTCAAAGAGGAAGGTAGTAAATACAAAAGAATAACAAAGAATGAACTTGGAGGTTCCTCTGCAATTCTGGAATTTAAAATTCATTAGACAACATTTATAATATATTTTTAAGAGTGGTATTCTTTAAAATATCTTCAGATGCCTGATTTTGGAAAAAAAATATAATTTGAATCAAATTCATATGCCACATGAATTGGTTTTAAATTAAGTCTAAGTTACAAAATTCCAGCATTTTTACAGCATTGATTCTAATAATGAAATGTTTCTCACAAGTCAAATGTAGAAGTGAAACAGGAACATTTCTACAGGTATCTGTGTATCTTGGAGGTGACAAAAAAAATCGGTGAAATAAAATACTATAAATGGACCTAAAGTCTTTAGAACATGCCAACAAATATACGCAGATTGCAAAGCTGACAGTTAACAATTCCTTTCTACATATATTCAAAATGAAGAAACTATATGGAGTTACACAATCCACGTATTATAGGAAATTTTAAATAGTTGAGATTCCAAGTGTAAACATTTAGATAGTCTTATTATAAAATATGAAATTTTGGCTTCTGGAACACTTAAGCTGGGATATTATCCATAAACTGAGAGATTTTTGGCAAATAGCAACAATTAGTCTCAAAACATTGACTAGCAAGCATAGATTAAAGGAGTCAAGTCTGTGAAATCTAGCTGATCAAGAACTTCAAAAGAGCCATTTGTAAATACTGAAGGGCCTGATTATCAAAGACTTCTGTTCTGGAATGGCACAAAATTAAGGAAATTAAGAGCCCAAGGAAAAACACTGTTAATGGGGATCATTTCAAGTTTAGAGTCTATGAAAATTTCAAGGCACCAAGAGGCAACTGACATATTAAAATTTTTTTATAGAGAAATACTGAATTTTATGCAGCTTTGGTGACAAATCCTCTTCTGCTCAAGAAATAAAATTTGAAACCAGTTTTCTAACAACATATTTGATGTCAATGTAAGCTACTAATCTAAACATAAAGCCAATGAAGCACTTCTTAGGAAGTCTGAGGTGTGGTTTATTCTGAATTTTGTTTCAGCCACCTAAAGGAAAACACTGTTTTCCCATTTGTAGAAAAATTCCAAAACCAATGAATAAAATACATTATTTTCTCTCTGACTTGATATACTGAATAGTCTGTCACATTAATTACCAAGTACATGAAAGTAGTATACATGAGAAAGTGGCTTAAATGTGACATATGTCTACCTGCTATACTAAGATACTATCTTTGTAGGGTAACTAACACTAATAGGGAGGAAAAACATTCATATATACCATACCTCAAAACTAAGCTACAAAAACTGTTGAAGCTTAAGGGAGGTATATGAACACCGAACTTAGCAAATATCTTCTCCTTCTCTTAAGTCAAAACTCAACTTCAGAGATCTATAAATAGAAACCAGGTAATTACAATAAGCAGAGGAACAACAAAGGCCATCTCCAACATTATCACCTAGGAATTTTAAATGATTTAAAATATCCTTTAAGAAAAGGGTACCAACACAACAGATCAGTAGCTTCTCCTTCTTCCTATCTTATAGTCAGTAGAGTGAAAAAACAAAACTAACTCTGGGAATATCCAAGAGCACCGGCTTTGGAGTTGACCTGGTCTATGCTTTATGTGACTCAACTCCTCAGAGTCTCAACTTCCTTTATCCATTAAAAAAAGGGGAGAAAGACACTCATCACAGCTGCTGAAAAGATCGAATGAGATTATGTATACATTGATTCTGAAACAAGTAAGCCTGGTCTGTGTGTAATACTGGATTATAGTTTCTAAATCATGCTGTATAAAAATCAACTTTTGGTAGAGTTTCTTAACATATTTCAGCATTTCATCATTATAAAAGTAATACTGAAGCAAACAAAACACTTAAGGCAAACAGAATACATAAACTTAGAGCCAGGTATACCAAGCTATTTAATTCCATTGGATAAGAATTCCACTTCTGGGACTCAGAGCTCCCCCTGGATTTCCCTATACACAACTTTATCACAAGATTTTAATTAAAAATACAATAATCACTGAAAAGGGTACTGAAATGGTTCCAAGATACATACTACTAACAATAAAAGCTTCAAGAAACACCTTTTACAGCAAGTATAAACTTAAAATGATAAAAACCTCAATTTCTTTCCATGACATTTAATTAAGTACATCATGTTCCAAATCTGACGTATTCTCACTCTTCCACATTGTTAAACAAAACTGCTTTCTCCTTCTACTTGGAAAATCATCCCCTTCTGTTACCAGTGACCTAATCTGAATGACTCTTTTAAGACTGAATTCAAGAGTTAGCATCAGAAGAATGCACAAGTAGTAACGGGCTGCTTCTGGACAGGAACTGGGTGGCTGGAAGACAGGTGGCGGAGAGGCTTTCAATTTATACTCAGATATTTTGAATTATGAACTGTATAAATGTATTACCTATGCAGAGAATAAATTAATTTTAAACAGAAATCAGTCTAGTCTCCCCACATCAATCTGACTTGATGTCCTAATTTTTCCCATTAATACCTGAAATTTATTCCATCGCAGCCTATAGTGTATATCACAGTATACAACTGATAATTTTCATAAAGCCTGAGATCTTGGAAGGCAGGATAGTCTTATTTCTGCATTCCTGTACTTACAACTCAGAAAGCACAAGGAAAGTTGAATGACTGACATCTTGCCACTTTTAAGTGTATTCCTGGCATTCAACCTACTTAAGGACTATTTGCAAACTTCATTTTTTTGGTCACACAATAGTCTGGAGGAAGGAAAAGGATTTGACAAGAGGAAGGTTTAAGCTGGCAACTCCCTCATGAAACATGACTATGTATGGATTCATACTTAGGGAATTTTAAAATCTGACCAAAGGCTCAAATTCTAATTTCATCAATGAGGAAAACCAAGAAAGTTGAATGACTCGACCAAAGAAATTGGCTAAGTGGTAGAAGA